AGTCAAAGATGGAGAGACTAAGAAGAAGTGACAACATGTAGAATAGGCTTGCCGCGATAGACGGTGTTGACGGTGTTACCGGTTTTAAGCCCCATCACCGGTGACATCACTTAAGTATTAGTTTTTGCAAAAATATTTATTTGAATTAATTAAAAATACTAATTTTCAATTATTTAGTTGTGAAGAGAGCATTATAATTAAAAATGAACTGCGCAACGCGTGCCGTCACGTCACAGATCAGCAAGCATCAGGATTCCATTTAGCGCGTGTGGAGACGAGAACGAGTCAAATTACAGAAAAGGAAGATAATGGCGGAAGATTTGGTGTCAAAACGCAATGCAAAAGCGCCTGTTTGGCAATATTTTGGCCAATATATATTAATGTTAATAAATGCCAATTTATAGTGTTTTACTTTTTTTTAGAGTGCAGTCATTTATGTAGGCTAAGGTCCTTTTTAAAGTTTTTATTTTATATTCGTCTCTTTTTATTTGGTTTTATCTTATTTAAACTTTGTTTAATTTATTTAGGCCAATTTTGTTTTCTTATGCGTTAATAAACGTTTTATTTGTTTGGGCCCACAGTTTGCCGATTTTCACTTTTTTCAGCCTATGCATGGGGTTATTTTTATTCGTTCGTTATGCTAATAAAAGTTCTGTCTATATTTTATTAGTTTATTATTCTAATAAAAGTGCTGTCTAAATAAAAGTTTATTGTCAGCGAGTTGTTTTTTTTTTTTTTTTTGTCCATTCCAGCAATTGACGCTGAATTGCAATTGACGCTTATTTCGAAAGTGAAAGTATGTCATTTTTGTAAGCTAAGGTCCGTTTTGAAGTTTTTATTTTATATTCGTCTCTTTTTAATTGGTTTTATCTCATTTAAACTTTGTGTAATTTATTTAGGCCTATTTTATTTTCTTATTGGTAAATAAACGTTTTATGGTTCTTATTTGTTTGGGCCCACAGTTTGCCGATTTTCACTTTTTTCAGCCTATGCATGGGGTTATTTTTATTAGTTCGTTATGCTAATAAAAGTTCTGTCTATAAATACAAGTTTTATTATCAGCGAGTTTTTTTTTTTTTGTCCATTCAAGCAATTGACGCTTATTTCGAAAGTGAAAGTATAATGCGCACGCATTTAAAAGCTATTTAACCCCCCCGCCCTGCCCTCCACGGTGACACCGGGATTACCGGTGTTGTCACACGTCGATTAACCGGTGGGAAATTTTCCTCACCGCGGCAACCCTAATGTAGAATGCAACAGGACATCTCTGAATGGTTAGTTGATGAATTTATGTTTTATCACCAACCTCCTGCACGAGTACACAAAGGGGCTCAAAATGTTCTATTCATCACAAGAATCAGTAAATTTACAGTTGGGAATATGAGCGACTGACATGACTCCTGAGCGGATCTTCAACAATAGTTTAGCAGCCAGGACTCGGGGCTTCCGAACACCAGGCTAAACCGTCCGTCCAAAATGTCACGGTCATCGTCCCTTCAATGAATGACCTATGTAGAACATTTTTCATATATAGGGCGCACCAAATTACAAGGCACACAAGATACTGCAGTCAAACGTTTGACTGGGTTTGCGTTATTCATCCACTATGTGCTAAGGCTAAAGGGAATGTAGTGAGTGCGCGGCGCCGGAGGTGAGGCGTTTATTTAGTAAGCATGACCGCGCTGGAGCGGGCACGTAACTTACATTCGCAGCCTGACTCATATGAGTATTCAATGTGCGCGGCTCGCTGAAAGCTGGCTGATTTGAATGAGACGACCCGGTTACTGTGAACGGGGAGCGCTTTATGAACATTCTTTGATACGCAAAGAGTGCGCACTCGTGAGCGCGTGATATACACGCATAAAAATACATACAACTTTTTTTTCTTCGTAATTTTCTTTGCTTTATTGGTGGTAGTCCAGTGTTCCCCTTTGTGTTTGGCCGGGTTCCACAGGAAGTTAGAGAAAATAGAGGAGTCAAAGGTTATATGTCGCCATAGACGGGCGACGAAACGTAAATAAAGAAACGTCTCGTGTCTTCGAATTAAACAATAAATTTCTCCGTATTTGAAAGTTGGTGGAAACTGTCGGGATAATGTAAGTACACATCTAACAGAAATATATAACATAGATACAGTTATTTTTGCTATTTTTAAAGCAGAAAAATACACATTGTGGCTTTAATGATATAATTATTATTTTAAATATCTAACTATTTTGGAGCATGAAAATATGTCAGTGCTACATAATCAGAGACATTTTTACAGTTAAAAAAAATAATATAGCCAAAATAGTTATAGTAATGTAGTATCTTTGCCAGAAATTAATTTAATTATGTTACTACACTATAAAAGCACCAAAAGGATGTAAATGTTTAAGACTGCATGTTCTTGTGACATCTTCAGCCAATTAGTGCTTCAGGTAATTTGCTTAAAAAAGTCCATAATGTAGTGTCCACATTTCTAAATGTGTTCGGCTAATGCAGGGGATTATCCGCTAGTCAAACAATCACCATTAAAATGAATTAGAATGCTAGCGGGTTGTTTTCTTCAGGTATTATAGAGTTCATTGTTGAAGAATAGTATTCTTTGATAAATACTGACCAAACACAGAATAACATCTATATGTTACATTTTAGTTTTAAATATTAGACATTTTAAATGGCCATTTTGAATGGTGTTATGTAAGTGTGTAATTGTTGTGTTGCTGTCATTGCCATTACTGTTGATGGTTTTCCTGTCTGTGGTTCTACTGTTGGTGATGTTACTGTAAGTTTTGTTACCGTTGATGGTGATACTGTCAGTGGTTTTACTAGTGTAAACAGGCTCAGTTGGGTGGCCAGTTCTCCTTTATTTAATCTGGTTGAAGTTTGAATTCATCATGCCTGTATGGAGACGGGTTTGTTGAAGATCTGCCTTCACAGGGAGAGTCTAGTTGACACAGTCTCTGCTGACACTTTTGGGTGATAATAGTAGTGTTACGGAGCCTCCCTAGTCTCCTAGTATCTTGAGGCCACGAGATACTATCTTGAGGCCACGAGTTACTATCTTGAGGCAATGACTTAGTATCTTGAGGCCATGACTTAGTATCTTGAGGCCACGAGTTACTATCTTGAGGCCATGAGTTAGTATCTTGAGGCCACGAGTTACTATCTTGAGGCCACGAGTTACTATCTTGAGGCCATGAGTTACTATCTTGAGGCCACGAGTTACTATCTTGAGGCCATGAGTTAGTATCTTGAGGCCACGAGTTACTATCTTGAGGCCACGAGTTACTATCTTGAGGCCACGAGTTAGTATCTTGAGGCCACGAGTTTGTATCTTGAGGCCACGAGTTACTATCTTGAGGCCACGAGTTAAACGAGTTACTATCTTGAGGCCACGCGTTACTATCTTGAGGCCACGAGTTACTATCTTGAGGCCACGAGTTACTATCTTGAGGCCACGAGTTACTATCTTGAGGCCATGAGTTACTATCTTGAGGCCACGAGTTACTATCTTGAGGCCACGAGTTAAACGAGTTACTATCTTGAGGCCACGAGTTACTATCTTGTGGCCACGAGTTACTATCTTGAGGCCACGAGTTACTATCTTGAGGCCACGAGTTACTATCTTGAGGCCACGAGTTAAACGAGTTACTATCTTGAGGCCACGAGTTACTATCTTGAGGCCATGAGTTAGTATCTTGAGGCCACGAGTTAGTATCTTGAGGCCACGAGTTACTATCTTGAGGCCACGAGTTAGTATCTTGAGGCCACGAGTTACTATCTTGAGGCCACGAGTTAAACGAGTTACTATCTTGAGGCCACGAGTTACTATCTTGAGGCCACGAGTTACTATCTTGAGGCCACGAGTTACTATCTTGAGGCCATGAGTTAGTATCTTGACGCCACTAGTTACTATCTTGAGGCCACTAGTTACTATCTTGAGGCCACTAGTTACTATCTTGAGGCCACGAGTTAGTATCTTGAGGCCACGAGTTAGTATCTTGAGGCCACGAGTTACAATCTTGAGGCCACGAGTTACTATCTTGAGGCCACGAGTTACTATCTTGAGGCCACGAGTTACTATCTTGAGGCCACGAGTTACTATCTTGAGGCCACGAGTTACTATCTTGAGGCCACGAGTTAGTATCTTGAGGCCACGAGTTACAATCTTGAGGCCACGAGTTACTATCTTGAGGCCACGAGTTACTATCTTGAGGCCACGAGTTAAACGAGTTACTATCTTGAGGCCACAAGATAGTATCAATTAATTTTGTTGCCAAAGTGGGACTAGGGGGGCTCCGTATAGTGTTTCTATTGAAGGTTTTACTGTAGATGTTATTATTGTTATGGTGTTACTGTCCATCCTTTGTATGACACGTTAAACTAAGGTCCTGACTCTCTGTGGTCATTAAATATCCCGTGTCGGATGTCTTTCGAAAGAGTAGGGGTGTAACCCCAGCCTCCTAACCAAATTTGCCCAGTGGCCTCCGTCCATCATAGCTAGAGCGTTACTGACTGGTTTTATTGTCAGTGCTGCCATTGTTGAACATGAGGTTACTGTCAGTGTTACTGCTTCCCATTTAACTTCCTATTTTTTCAATTAGTTAGTGTAAATACTGAATAAAATTGAAAAAAATAATATAATATAAAACAGTAGATTTAATGTACAATTGATGCATTTCATTTTTATTTCGACCATTGCTTGTATTTTTACGCTAGGTAAATCCCCCTTTGGGAAACCCTATCTTAATATTACTGTTTTCATCTTTTCTACAACAAAGCCTGTTTATATAATGTATTCAAAAATCAATAGTTCTGCTTCTGGCTTCTTGGAGTTCTACAGATTTTAACATCTTTTATTTAAATAATTTTATTATGAAAAAATATCTGGTTGACCCGTGGGAGCCAAACTTTACCCACTAAACAAGTGTCATAATGTCAATGATATATTGGATTCCTTTAGTAAATGTAAATGACTGTTATGGATAAGAGTTCTGTTCTCTTTTAATTTACAGGTACAGTCATGAATTTGGACTTTCCTTCCTACAGATTATCGTCAAGGACAATATGAATCTTCACCAGGGCAGCACTACACGGGACGACACAAACTCCACATGTTCGCATTTAAGCAGGCAATCATTTGTTTCCTATCTAAGGAATCGTGTTCAACGCCTCAAACGGATCATGTGAGGAAATATGGACAACGTGATATTGTGATGAAAATAAAGAAGATGCTTTGAAGCACATTGAGGTAGAAACAATTTACTTGAAATCAGAGATTACAATCACAAACCATTTGTGAGATGCTTCCTGATGTTTATTTGCCCCCAAAACAACAACATTGCTACTGGGACGGGCTAGTGTGTGTGCATACATGTATACATATGTCTTCAGACCAGCAATATGTCATGTTTAAGCGTTACAGATCATGTGCTATACCAAAACATATTATGGCATGCATAGAAAGTTGGGCATGGAATAAATCTTGATCATTTTGTTAATTTATCATTTTATTTATTGTTTTGGACAACAAACTCACTAGTCAGCGGGAACAATTACCAATGACGAGAAATTACTTGACTGTTTAGGTTAACATTGTTAAATATCTATTTTTTCAAGTATTATAGGTTTTTTTATTAAAAAAATGGAATCGGTTAAACTGGTGACAGGTTATTTTTCTAGCTTTTTAAAGTTTTGCTAAATCATTTTGAATATTCTGCCTGAAGTGAAAAGCAAATGTGTGGATGTAGAAATTCTGTCATGATTATGGCACCTTTCCTTTTATGCAGTACAAACACTGAAGCACAAATGTTGCTGCAGGTTTGTGTCTTTAATTGTTTTATGATTGTTGTTATAGTTTCATAATCACCCATCACTGAAAGCATCTACCTCGCCGTTTTACTGTGCGCTTACCTCTCTGTGTTGAGTTACGTCAAGCAGATCACAAGCCTTATTTCTGGAAACAACTCGAGCAAACAGTTATTGTTGGATGTGTGTTGTTCTGGCTTTTTCCATCCTCAACTTTAGAAGTCCAGGAGAAATATTACTAATTAATAGTCTATAGATAGCAAGTCAAAATTCAGTTCAGAATTAAATTGATTGTAACGTATTACGCCTGTTTTCTGTTAATAGCGATGTGTAGGACTATGAAGTCGAAAACTATAAACATATTTTATTAGGCCTAGGTAAAATATGGGAAGTTGCAATGTGACAGACATGATCATGATACCGATTGTATGAGAATTATATTAGACGAAATGTATACAAACCCATTTAAATGAAGAATTATTCTCATGTCTGTTCACAAGCACATATGTACTGCATTCATTTTAACTCCTGAAATGCTGACTTTTCACATACGTACTGCATCATGTCAAATGAATGTCCGGCATCCAGGACATCATTTTGCTCGAAAGCTTCAATGCTCCGGGGTCTTCAAGATGCTTGATTATGGTTTCTTTACACTGCCATTATTTTCTCTTCCATTTCATTTACAATCTATTTTCGATAAATAAACACGTGTCATCTGTTCTCTGCATTTAATTGGACATTACCGTTGGATAAAAATAGGACAGACAGAGCAGTAATGACTGGCGTTGATTCATTTTTGTGGACGGTTTATTTTAATGAACTTAATCGCTGTCATCACTAATAATGCTTCTCCGAATTTTTAGTACAACACAGTTTATATAAACTTTTAAATCATTAAAAAGGCCTTGAGCGAATCATTTGTGAATTTTAAATCAATATCATGTTTGGTCCATTATTTCATATTTGTGTGTTGATGTACTGTAATCATGCCAATATTACATGCGCAAAACAGCTTTATTGGTTGGTTTGTGGTTTTCATGTTCACTGCTGCCAAGTGACTAGATGTGATATTGCCATGCTATCTCACGACCAATTCGTACGAGTAAGACAATTCGAACGAATTCGTATGACATCACTTGTACGAATTTGTACAATTTGTCAAAACCCCAGTGATGGGTAGGTTTAGGGGCGGGGTCAGGGGTTGGTCATTCGTACCAATTCTTACGAATTGTGCAAAATACGTACGAATTGCCATGAAAACGGGTTGGATATTGAGCTGTGATATTAAGACAAATATTTACTTACTAACATAATTTTATCATTACCAAACTGCGATGATCTAAATGAAAAGATGCCCCAGGGTAGGGGACACCAGAAACAAATAAGCCAGAGTGACATTTATTCTATACTCTCTCAGTTGTTGGAAGAAGAAGAAAAAAAAGATCTTGAGGAAGGCTTATTTAGTATTTTTGGGATAAGTTTGGATCTCTTTGTTTGAATTCAAGCCAAGCTAAATTGTTGACTAAGTTGACATGAATGACAGATCAGATGCTAACACTGCTGCAAGATATTGCCATGGCGTGTAACACTAGTTAATTGAATTTTTTAATTGATAATATACATTATTTCATAAATCTTTTCTAGTGTACTACTGTTGAACTCATCAGCTGAGAAAAACTGTTTAGTAAAAATGTACTCATTTCAAAATAAAAGAAGTAGTATCCACCTTATTTTGAACATAAGAGCAGGCACAGCCATTTTTAACATTTTTAACTGTGTCGAGGCTTCTGGAGTCAGTCGCTTTCAGTAATTTTAGCTGCATTAACAGTTAGTTTTGATACTTGATATTGCAAACTGGTATTTGTTACCAAATTATTTTAATCATTGTTATCATAAACACGCTGGTTTATTATTTAAAAGGTTAGTTATTTATCTGTAGAGTGCTGCAATGATGACGTACCTTAGCATCCCCCTGGTTCCATCGACACAAACCCAATAGGATTTTTCCATTAGCTTTTTGATAACTTGAGAAAATATGCCTTGTGATCTACAAATGGACATGGCTTTTAACTATTTTGATGTCTAAATACAATCGCCAAAAGTAAAATGCTAAATGTAGGCTACAAACGAACTCTTCCGACAACTCTTTCAGTCCTTGTACAAAAATTATAAAAATTATAAAATAAAAAAACTCCTGAAAGTTTAGGTTAGAATAGGTTACGGTTATAATATAATCACAATGAGGTTATAGTGTAGATAAGTTTAGAATAAAATGTGGAAAAAAAAATGTTTTACCCAACAGAATCTCATGGCAATTCACGTACATTTTGGCAAATTGGTGGCTAAAGCATATGAATTTGTGCAATCTCGTTCATCCGTTTTCATAAGATCTGCTTGCCTCCCAGCGACTGTTTAGGGCTAGGCATATTAAAAGATAAGTTCACTTTTGAAAAAACTTTTGCTGATAATTTACTCACGCCCATGTCATCCAAGATGTCCATGTCTTTCTTTCCTCAGTCGAAAAGAAATTAAGGTTTTTGATGAAAACATTCCAGGATTTTTCTCCATATAATGGACTTCAATGGGAACCGGATGGTTCAGGTTTCAAAAGATGGTTTATAACTGTTTCAGATGCAGCTTCAAATGTCTTTAAACGACACCAGACGATGAATAAGGGTCTTATCATGCGAAACGATCGGTTATTTCAAAACTTATTCCAAAAATGTAACTTTTATAAGGACAAATGCTAGCCTTGCTATATTCTGTGAGGCGCGTTTGCAACGTCACGTATTACGTAATTACGTTCAAAAGGTCACGGGCGACGTAGCCGAAAGTACAGCGTCAGTGTTTACAAGTTGAACGCATAGGTTGAACGTGCAAACTAAATCAAACACCGTTTACAAAAAAAGGAATTAAAAGGAAAAACAACGATGTCGGATGATTTTGATTCTGTACTTCCGGCTACGTCGCCCGTGACCTTTTGAACGTAATTACGTATTACGTGACGTTACAAACGCGCCTCAGAAAATATAGCAAGGCTAGCATTTGTCCTTAGAAAAGTTACATTTTTGGAATAAGTTTTGAAATAACCGATCGTTTTGCATAATAAGACCCTTATTCATCGTCTGGTGTCGTTTAAAGACATTTGAAGCTGCATCTGAAACTGTTATTAACTGTCTTTTGGACCTTGAACCATCCGGTTCCCATTGAAGTCCATTATATGGAGAAAAATCCTGGAATGTTTTCATCAAAAACCTAAATTTCTTTTCGTCTGAGGAAAGAAATCTTGGATGACATTGGGGTGAGTAAATTATCAGCAAAAGTTTTTTCAAAAGTGAACTAATCCTTTAATTCACATGTGAAATTTCCACCTTATAAAATGGTTGGTTTACTACAGACCTTTTGTCATTTATCAAAAAATAAATAAATAAATATACATATATATATATATATATAACCCACTTTAAGACGAGAATCATAAGTGCTAAAGTTCAGAAAACTCATTTATACACTGTAAAAAAAAATATTTTTGGTTTAACTTAAAAAATTAAGTAACCTGGTTGCCTTAAAATTTGAAGTTGATTGAAATGGAAAAAGTGAGTTAATACAACGAAGGAGATTGATTTAATCATCAGAAACTCAAAAAAATATTTGAAAATATTTTTTTTTTACAGTGTATGTTTTTGCCTACATAATATATCATCCCTGTGGCACTCAATTGTGGCTAATGAATCATAAGTCTTGGACATTCACAGGAAAGAGATAACTTTTAATAATCCAGAAGCGCTGTTATTTTGAAGTTGGTTTACAAAGCAAAGTGGTTTGGAAGCATGTCCCTTAGACTGTAACAGACGTCCTGTGTTAAATCAGATGTTTCTCATCTGACTGGTGTCTTCTGTCCTGTGGTTATGGATGCTGCTGACATTGATGTTTTGCAGAGCGTCACATATTTTCAAGGCTGCTGGGTTTAGTAAACCATGACATTGTGGCATGATTCTTCAAACGTGACACTCATTACATAACGCTCATATCATTCATTCCCTACACATCTCTGATATCAGCACATGTGACTTCTATACTATATGTAACTACACTGTGTGCAATTCGGACATGTTCCTTTAATACCACCTTATTTATATATGACATCTTAAATGAAGTGGTGTATATGCAAAGAATGGAATCGTTCTCAAGCACTCCATTACATAAGCAATTAAGAGAAATAATTGTTTTAAATAATTTAAGCAATTGCAACAGTGTTGCACAGTTTAGTACTACATCCATCTGTTATTTGTTTTTAGTAAGCAATAATGCATGATAAATCGTATGAATACGACGACTGAATTATCATTGTTGCTTTGCTCATGATTTGGTTGTTGATGTAAATATCTTTCTTTACTAGTGCCTTATATCATGTATCATATCATTAGTGTTTAAAAGTGAAATTGCTAAGCATTCTAGATTGAGAAAATGATGTCATTAATTCTTTCTGTAATATGAATGTATTGCACTTAAAGTCTTCCTGGGATTGTAATATTCTTCATATACGATCATGTTACATCCTTTGCTTCTAGGATTGATTCCCATGTTTTAACTTTTCAGCAATGCGAGTGCAAAGAATCTTCTCGTCAACATTTTTGAGCAAAGAACTTAAAGGAGTAGTTCACTTCTGAAAAAAACTTTTGCTGATAATTTACTCACCCCCATGTCATCCAAGATGTCCATGTCTTTCTTTCTTCAGTCGAAAAGAAATTAAGGTTTTCGATGAAAACATTCCAGGATTTTCTCCATATAATGGACTTCAATGGGAATCTAACGGTTTAAGGTCCAAAAGGAAGTTTCAGTATAAACTGCAAACTGTTAAAAGGGCTTTAAATGATTCCAGGCGATGAATAAGGGTTTTATCATTTAAAAAAAAAAAAAAAAAAACGTTTTATAAGCTCAAATGGTCGCCTTGTTCTGTTCTGTGATGCACGTTCGTGACTCTCCTGTTCGAACTTGTTTATCAAAATGAACAAATCTTTTTCCGAGTCAATTTGGTTCTTTCAACGAACGAAACGAGCGAATTGACTTGGAAAAAGATTCGTTCATTTTGATAAACGAGTTCGAACAGGAGAGTCACAAACGTGCATCGCGGCACAGAGCAAGGCGAGCATTTGAGCTTATAAAACTTAAAACTTTGTTTTTTGTTTTTTTGTTTCGCTTGATAAGACCCTTATTCATCGTCTGGAATCGCTTAAAGCCCTTTTAACAGTTTGTACTGAAAGTGTCTTTTGCACATTGAACCGTTTGGTTCCCATTGAAGTCCATTATATGGAGAAAAATCCTGGAATGTTTTCATCAACAACCTTAATTTCTTTTCGACTGAGGAAAGAAAGACATGGACATCTTGGATGACATGGGGGTGAGTAAATTATCAGCAAAAGTTTTTTGAAAAGTGAACTACTCCTTTAAGAGTAAGTTAATAATTTGAAAGTGATTGCAGTACCGGTTTTGGCCACAATCTTGCATACGGCTCGTTTAACTCAGAATTTTCATTTAAATCAATACATTTGGTTTTCAAGAGAATCTAAAATGGCAACAGAATGCATTTAGCATAAACCCACATGACAATAGATCTCGTTCAATTCTCCAAAAATTAGAGTCCAATAAACAAACAGTGCTAACCAATTGCGTCTGAAAGGGATACTCCATATTTTTTTCATATTAAACTATGTTATTC